TCCTGGCGGAAAGACGGCCCACACGATGTTTAAAATCCCAATCGATTTAGACAGTAATGAGTCACCAACATGCTCTATCACAAGGAACTGTGATAAGGCGAAAGTGTTACAAGATTGCTGTCTGATCGTTTGGGATGAGTGTACAATGGCAAATAAAAAAGCCGTCGAAGCTGTGGACAGAACCCTACGTGATATTCGGCGAGATGAAAGGCCAATGGGCAACGTCACACTGCTTTTTTCTGGTGATTTTAGGCAAACACTTCCAGTTATAAGTCGAGGAACTAGAGCCGATGAAATTAGAGCTTCATTAAAGCGTTCCCACCTCTGGCCTCTAATGAAAAAGCTGCAATTGACGATCAATATGCGAGCACAACTAGGTGGTAATTTACATGCCCACGAATTCTCAGACATTCTTTTGAAACTTGGAGAAGGTACTCTTTCTGAAGAACATGGTAAGGTGACGCTTCCAGAAACAGTTTGCCGAATAGTTTCTTCAGAAGATGAACTTATAAATTCTGTATTCGGTGACCTATCACATATAACATATCAGGAAAATTCTTGGTTATGTGAACGTGCGATACTCACTCCCAGAAATGACCAAGCTGCTGCAATAAATCAAAAAAATTTATCTGAAGTGATTGGGGATGACGTCGTTTATACGTCTTATAATAGCGTTCTCAACCACGACGATGCTACACATTATCCTGTTGAGTTTCTGAGTTCGCTTTCTGCAAGTGGTCTTCCTGCGCACATAATTGTGCTTAAAATAGGTGTACCAATAATGCTGCTGCGTAACCTTACTCCTCCAAAATTATGCAATGGTACACGACTAAAAGTAACTGCTCTACAAAGAAATTTAATCCAAGCTCAGATTCTTACTGGATGTGGCTCAGGGGAAACTGTATTTATTCCACGAATCCCACTCATCCCTAATAACTTTCCATTTGAATTTAAGCGCACACAGTTTCCAGTAGCCGTTTGCTTCGCCATAACTATAAACAAATCCCAAGGTCAGACTCTCAGGACTGCTGGTGTCGACTTAAGATCTGATTGTTTTTCCCATGGTCAACTGTATGTGGCTTGCTCACGAGTAAGCAGCCCAGACAACCTTTTTATTCTAGCACAAGGCGGTAAAACGGTTAATGTCGTTTATAAAGAAATTCTTTAAAGTATCTCCATTATTTAACTTTTTTTTTAATTTGCTAAATTCAAACAAGTAATTAAAAAAACTAAAAAAAAACATTTTTACTTTATGCATATATCATAAACAAGTGGAAAACTAATAACGGTTTTTAGATGTAAGTTTTATCTCTATGAAGAGCTCTTCCAGCCATGAAAAAGGTGAAAAAAGTTGCAAAAGTATACTTACTCAATATAAAACTCAATATACTTCAAGCCCTGCCAATTTAGATAGTTTCCCAAAAGTTCTAAATTCAGAATATCATAAAGCAATTTTTAACCAACAAAAGAGAAGAGAAAGCTTAGGACAATCAAAATTCCACGCGGACGAAGTCGCGGGCGGCCGCTAGTGAAATCTATAATTTTAATAGTAGAACGCATATTAAAGGAAATTATCTGAATGATCCTAAAAAATAATAAATTATCGCCTAAAAATGTAAGTGGTAACCAAAATAATATGTTTGGTGAACTTTTTACAGGTTTTTACCGATAGGCCAATTTTCTTTAGGTAACAATGACATTAGTAAGTAGAGGCTTTTCCTTTAGTTTTAGAGATTAATCGTATCACGTCTGGCTGATCGTACCAGTTGGTGGTTATTGTGATTGGCAACAGATTCCACAGTCGGCCCACGATAATCGTAAACGCATCCGTTTGATGCCTAAGGTTTTTGCACTAGTCATCTCAACTGGGCGCAACGGGACGTGATTAATCATTCTGTCATATCATTATACGCTTCCTACGATGTCATTAAACTGAAACACCTAAGCAGGTACTATATGTAAATCATGAGTCTATTGTTACTAGTATTGTCGTATCTGCTTTAATCAATTCGATTCAACAATAACAATAATATATTACTACATACTTCCGGACACATCTATTTACTCATTTAGTGTTAAAAGTTTCAACGGTCTGTAGCAAAATTATGTTTATTGTTGAGCAATATTTTTTTTGGAGTGAAAACTTCTTTAGCACCGTTGTGCTTTGAAACTCGATGAAACAAAAAATTACAGGTATGCGTAATATTTGTAACTCTCTGCAAGAGATAGATAGCCGAACGGTAACGGACCAAATGATTGGTGGTTCATTGATATTATGGACGGTGGTCCATCCTGAGCATGGTTATATTTTGTTTTTTTTTTCTTTTACTTAGACGAAGTAATTACTTAAAATATAGACTCTTTCCAAAATAATTTGTGTTGACGACGAGCAAATATGGAACCCTACACTGCGCATTGCACGACATGCACTAGGCTGTTTTTTTTAAAGATAGGATCATTAATCATTAGTTTCAAAAATGCGTAGGCAATAACTTTTTGCTCATAAACTATTAAATTGTCATAAATGATGTATTGCTGTTGCCGCTATAGCAACAAATACTAAAAACGGAATAACATAAACATTAAAGGGGGCTCATATACAACAAACATGTTTTATTTCGGTGTTTTGCTTAATATTAATCACGGGTCATTTAATAAGTAAACTTTTACCCGTCCGCGGGAAATAATGAATATTCATAATAATTTATATTTATTACTTTGTATAGCTTGCCGAGATTTTGCGCTTCGTTCAAGGTAGTATACTCTTATGATATGGGAAGCCTTCTCAACGGGATTGCTGACGATATTGCTTTGCCAATGGATCATGAATATACATAAGCATCGTAAATGTATACAGTTTGTAAACAAAATGGCTATTTTAATAAAACACTACTATGAATATGAAGTCAATTTTTTAATCATAGCCACTTATAAAAAGATGTTTCAGTATTACAGTAAAGGAGTTTGATTTAAAAAGTTATGAATTCAAATTTTGGCAAATATAATGAATGATACATTAAGTAATTATCAGATACTGTTTTTCATAGTCCTATAGTCGAAAATTAAAATATCTTGCAATTCTTTAAGTTAAATGTCAATTTTATAATAATGAATACAGAATCATGTTGGGAGAAATAAAACATCACATCAGATTTACAATTTATTATGGTGTGGTTATGTATCGGATAACAATGGCACGGATAGGGATTTCCATTCCCATAATACTGTTCGCATAATGAAGGAGGATGCGAGCGGTGACGTGATAAAAACTCCATAAAAAGGTTTTTGTGAAAACCGATATTTACCGGTTCTTCTTTAAGAAGAGGATTTATCCACGTTATATGTATGCATCCAAATCTTTTGCGGTATATACTAGATGCGAGATACGCAATGGAAGAAGGTCAACTAACCCTGCCTATGTCTCGTCGTCCGATGGTGAAAAAATAAAGGCAAAATTAGTTCTATCTACGATTAAAAAGGATTTACTAGTAGTTAAGGACTCTAAACTCAGTACGCTGGAAATAGTTCTGAACAGATACGTGCGTTCAGAATAGGCCCCCATTTTAGAAACTTTTTTACCATTGACGCCACAGTCTGCGGCTTAGTGCACTTTGCAACTTGAAACCTCTACGTTGTATTCGTGGGACCATCAATACAGCTTGCTCACATTTACTCTTGGAGAGTTCAATAATAAGAGATGAATCCAGAACATATGTTAGAATTATGGTTGACGATGTTGTGCTAGAAAAAGTAAATGAGATCGTATATCTTGGATTGGTTTTTAGTTTGGAAGGCAGGTACACCGCTGACATAGAGAAAAGAGTGGTTGCAGGAAGTTAATGGAGCTTAAGGAAAACTTCTTGAAAGTAAAACGGGCGCATTTCCATTTATATCAAGTGAGAGCAGTACCTTAAAAATAGATTTTATTTTATTAGCTATTTATATTCCATCCATAGGGAAGACCTGTGCCTCAGCAGTGGGGACATTAATAGGCTGATGATGATGTTATTACCAAAGCCAGGGTATAGCTCGCTATACACAACGCGGTGCTGGTCCCCACGCAAATGTATGGAAGTGAGAGTTGGGTATGTCAGAAAGAGCATGAAAGTAAAATAAACGCAGTCGAGATGCGAGCGTTAAGTAAAATTTGCGGATTAAGGCTCGCAGACGTAAGAAAGCAAGAAAGAGTTGATGTGGAAGACAGTATCGAAGTTAAAATACAGAGATATGCTCCGTTGCTTCAGATACGTGGAAAGAATGTCTAAAGAGAGAATGCGGAAGCAGATAGACAATGCCACAATGGAAGGATGTAGAAGGCTAAAGCTCGCTTATCACGACATATTGGTCACAGTTTGAAGGTAAGCCGCAAAAACCGGCAAGCGTCTATGAAAAGAGTAATGAATGTGAATGAAACGAAAGGTGTGTCTTATGGCGCTCCACTCTCTCTGCCTACCCCACCCGGGACTCATCGTGAAGATAGATAGATAGTTCGACAATAAATTTGATAATTTTGCTTAGTTGCTAGTAATTTTACTAGTTGAAATTCCTTTATGTATTTTGGACAAGCATTTAAAACTAGCCATTAAAATAAATGGAAGATCTAAATGTTTAAATAGATTTATTGTGCACACCAATTGCTGAATGCATAAATAACTATAACATACGTACGTATCATCATCATCATCACCAGCCTATTAATGTCCCCACTGCTGGGGCACAGGCCATTCCTATGGATGAAATGCGGAGATTGGGCCATGACCCACCACGCGGTCCCGGTGATGGATGCAAACGACTGCTAATGCAGTCGGGATAAACGGGTAAACGTGCCTTTCGAAGCACGGAGCAGCTCAAAATAGTGATTTTTTGGTCACCTATCCATTGACCTGCTACTACGAAAGTTGCTTAACTTTAACGATCGGAGCTAAACGCGCTGACTATTTGCGCCATCGCGCTCCTTGCCTACGTATCAGCATGACTTAAATGTTGTATTTTGCCTGCAGGCGGAGGAGTTGAACTCATTGGTGGGAGATGCGTTCCGAATGGCGTTCGCGTCGCAGCTGCAGCCCTCCGCGCCCCTTTGGGTAAGTACTATAATGACTGTGGACTGCCTGGTCCGCCTGGAATTTTTTCTAGTAAACTTTTCTTTAGATTTAAACATCTAGCAGTTAAATGCTCGAAAAATAAAAACATAACTATAATTGCTGTTTCTTCTTTCAAACGTTTAATACTTGTAAAGTATTCATTTGTCATTGTGGGTTACCTATAATGCGAAGAGATGGCGCTGCTTTGCAGCTTAAGGCTAGAGAAAATACGACACACCTGTCAAGGCCGCGGTAGCATGGTCAGTGCATTCGCCCGTATAGCGAAGGGTGCGGGTTCTATTCCCGTTTACTGCCTGGTCCGCGTGGATTTTTTTCTAGTAAACTTTTATTTAGATTTAAACATCTAGCAGTTAAATGCTTAAAAAATAAAAACATAAGTACTATAATGTTTAATTGCGTTGCTATTCTTTTCGAATATTTGTGATTGTGGAAAAATGCTTTCCATAGAACCGTTTACCATCCATTTTACTCCCTTTTTTATTTTACTTTCATATGCACTCCATGTCAAACGGAGTCATTTGTCGGTAGGTAATTATAAAAGAATACGAAAATGCCTTTAAAAAATCTGCACTGCCAGTATTTTTATTTTTCACCCCAGAATGAAGTGATATCTTCTAATATCTCATTCACTCATTCAACGTTGACCTCGTCCGCGAGAGAACGGTTTTTAGCTGGGATTCTAAACGTAAACTCTCAACATTAACTTCAACCATTTAATCAAAAATAATGCAAGTAGTAGTTGTAGTATAGTTTAACCTTAGTAAGAGTTTAACATACCTAAATTTATGAAAATAAAACTTTTGTTTTAAAGATGTAGCATCGTTGTATTCAACTCGCTACTGGTGATGTATATCCGTGAGACCGGTCCCCAAATATTTTATAGGAAAAAAAATATAATTATGTTAAATTACCTGAATAATGTTTTTATGAATCCTAAGATATTGTCTAATGTTAACAAAAGAGATTTGATTTATGAAATGCCTATGTTTTATTGAGAACAAAATATTTTTCTAATGAACAGTAAATTATGTAAATATTCGTAGTTAAAAACCCTGGGGCGTGAGACCGGGATCACGAACGATGTAAGTCAAATTTACGTCACAAATGACGGATTAAGGATGTTTACTTAGAGAGCAAAGCGCTGCAGATCTCATATGACTTCACCCTGGAACATTGGACAAGGCGCGGTCACATTACACTTGATTTACTACGTGAAATGAAACGTTTGCAGTAAACGTTCCGGTCTATTGCTCGAGTGTAGGAATTTGACAAATGTGTTGTATATGTAGTCTTGAGAAATTTCCAACTAAAGCGGTTAGCTAACACATTGTAACATATTGTATTGCTGCGTTATGTGTTACATGAAGTGACGTGAATTTCGCACGAAGCTAGGTACATCACAGTGTCACAAGGTATCGTTTCATTAGCACCAGCCTATTAGTTTTCCTGCTACTATGGTACAGGCCCTTTCCTTGGATGGATAGGAAGTTTGGGCCAGTGTGAATTAGTGGTTTGCTTACGACTGTAGATGTAGCCGGGCCTAACGATATAAAGTGTCTTTCAGAGAACGGATGAACTCGAGATAGTAAATTTTTAATTATTCATCGTATAATTTGCCATTGCAGACGTTACTCAACTTCCACGATCTCAGACCAAACGCGCTACCGTGGATATCGTTTTGTGTTTTCTCATATTTACAAGTAAGTAGGAACTACAGAGGTGCCCTGCGGTGTCGCCGACATTATTTTGAGGAAAAAGGTTATAGCGGGCCACCCTTAAAAGATAGACATATTCTGTGGTAGACGTTTTTATAGATTTTTTAAAGAGTAACAATTCCTTCATACATGGATTTTGTGTAACTTTTACCGTTTACGCAGCGCACGCAACGGAAGCTCACAAATGGAATATTTTTGCCCGTTTTTGCAACGTGTTTCATTGGTGCCTTCAGCCTTACTGCATACATGCACAATTAAACACAAATATTTTTTCAATTCGGAACAGTAGTTCTTGATATTAGCGCGTTCAACTAACCAAACAAAAAAACTCTTCAGCTTCATAATAATAGTAATAAATATTCTTTATTCATATAACACTAGTATATAATTTATACATTATTTTTTAATATAATATTAGTATATACTTAGATTTACATGTAATCTCTGAATTGTAGTCAGTCAGTTCGTGAAGGGAAAAGTATGTATGAATGAATAGTTATATTTTGTATATAATGTAATTACCTATTTCTGACTCATTATCACACTATGTGGTAATATTGATTACTCCTATTAAGTATTTAGGGAGGCGAATAAAAATGTTTGAGTAAGATAAATATATTTCTACATGATTTTATAAGGTAGATTGGATTAGCAATATTATTTATTGTTGCAAATTGAAAGAAATTAGTTTGCTCACAAAACCTAAGGTGCCGATCAGGTTTCTATTGAAATATATCTTTGTTTGTATACGCATAATAAACGAAGGGTGTGCCTGGTTCAGTGTATAATTACGGAAAGTCGCCGCATCCGGTACCGGACATTGTGATTGGCGGCTTTTAGTGCAGCGACTCGGGAAACATACTACAATTATAATGGCTCAAATAACATTGTGGCGGTTTTAATTTATGGTTTGGTTCTGTGTTAATAGATAAGGCAATGCTAGCTTACTGCTGAGTAATTGTTTTGGCCTGCGCATGCGAGGAACTTTTGTCCGTGGAAGCCTGAATCGTAAAATAAATATCCTCCGAGGACTTGCCACAGGCTCAACGCACTCGATGTGTGAACATTAAGAGTGTGAAGACCCGGTCTACACACGACACACTATACCAGGTACAGATTTTCCCCGCCCACCACGACAACGTCTAACCGAGGTCCGAGTCTCAGAGACGCCCTCTAGTTGAGCTGACCCCCTCAGGTTCGAGTGGTCTAGAGGCTCCAGACGCAGAGGGGACTCCTCCCGTGGGTAGATTACCATCTCGGTGGGGAATGATGTTGTTCCGGGTTCGGACATAGTTCCTGGAACTATTAAGATCCGGAACTACCCATGTCTAGCTGTGATCGCTTGTATGGGGAAGTACTGTCAGTGTAACTATTACAAAAGCACTTAACTGGAAGAACCTTGTCGCTTGCTTGCTTTTTTATTAATTAAGCAAACAGTTTTGAAAATATCAAGCATTGTGACTATGAGTAAACGATTACGACTAAATACGAAACACAACACTGAACTAACTTGAAATTATTTTGTATCACGAAGTAAGTTATTAAGTTCGCAAAGCCAGTATAATTTTCTGCACTCCCAATAATTTGCGACCCGACTTAATACAGTAAAAATAAAATTTACAAAAATCTGTTTCTTTAATCAATTTTAATTTATAACAGACGAGTTTCTTCCCTAATTAACTAGAGATTAAAAACTTGGACTCTAAAAAAAGCTTAGTTGCTAAACGAACCTTCGGCCTTGACGGACGGACTCAAATGGTAACAAATGATGAAATCCTGCGACGTGTTGGCAAGAAACGCATACTTTGGGATACCATCAGAGTGAGGAAGGTTGCCTATCTAGGGCACGTGATAAGACATGAAATGTACGCCCTTTTACAATTAATAATGATGGGCAAAGTTGCTGGAAAACGAGGCGTCGGTCGCAGAAAGAAGTCTTTGTTGAAGAACCTACAAGAATGGACTGGAATCTCGAGCGCCGATGAATTATTCCATCTCGCTAAGGATAAGGAGACGTATGCTAAGCTGACTGCCAACCTTCGCTGTTCGGAGAGTCACTAGAAGAAGAAGAAAGTTTGGGAGTGGGAGTTCGTGACGTCATTATTAAGTAAAAATTGTACCAAAACGTGACGTCATGCGACATTTCAAATCAATATGTGTATCTTTGTTATGGATTGATTATGTGAATAATGAAAACATACGTGTCCAATACTTTTTGATAATCTACTTGATAGACAAAGAAACAAAAGTTTAAGTCTCATCCCTATTCAAACCACTTAAAACCAGTTATGGCGTTGACTGACCGGATATTTTGATTTACGATGTCCGCATGATTACATGGCATGTGATTTGTGAGTTGCTGAATAGAACAAAATCTTTTGGTGAATGGAGCAAAAAGTTAGGGACAACTAAAAATAGTAATAAAATACAATGTAAACATAACTGTAGTAGTGTATGCGTCATAGACATAGGATTTTGTTATAATACTTGGTCCATGGTATGCGTAGTCTATGACTGTATGAGTATGTGTAAACATTTTTTTTTAACAGATTTAAAAAAAATTAGGGGGGTTGCTAAGTATAGAATTAAAAACTTCAAGTAATGGAAACATAATTTATGTATGTAATTATTATTTTTTATTGTGGCTTAGCGTCATGTCTTTTGAGCTTATTATTTTAAGTGGTTTCAGTGATTGAATCAACTTCAAATATGTTGTTCGTTTATTTTTTTCGTTTCGCTTAAACTATATTTAATTATCTTTTAGAAATATCGTAAAACATTATTACTCAATATTATATTAAAACATAATAAAGAATTTCTACCATGCAAATAGACTATGGCAACAATACTAAGGTAAAAAAAACATTTAGGTATAGACGCAAAAAACTTATTCGACAAAAATGTGTTTGGGAGTTTGCCATTGTTCTTTAGGCCAACTAGATACCGAATGTGTAGGTAGTAGTAGGCGTAGGTAGGTACATGAAATTTCATCAAAACTGGTTCAGCCACTTTCGTGTTTTAGCGAGACTACGATAGAAAAAAAAATAAGTACTGCTTTTACTTCGCTCTTAATTTTAAAAAAGCTTTTGGTAGGTATCCCAAACATAATTTTCATAATAATAAAATTATCTTGTATTTATTATATTTTTTATTTCAAGCATTTTGTTGCTAAATATTTAATCTACACAAAATAAAAAAAACTTTAAAAATAAATGATATTCTTGTATCTTCATAAGTCTACGACAACATCTGATTGTAAAATCC